ACACACACACACACACACTATGTATGATTTTTAGGGTTAAATTTCTAGTATTATACATGAATAAATACGGGGGGGTATCTATTTTCAGTTTCAAAACTTTTCAGTTTTTTTTTTGTTTTTTTTTTGCATATTTTCTGGCCTCAGTTTAGCTGTATATTTGCTCCGAACCCTGCAGTTGTGTTTCTGACCTGTCGCCCTCTGTGTGAGTGCAGTCACTCCTGGAGAACACAAGCAGCACATGGTTGGCGCCCACGCCTTACAGCAGCTCCATCTGGTCCACCAGCACAGATTTGCCACTGCATCCTTTTCCGCCGCCCACCAGCTCGACGGCTCTGACAAATCTGGTCAACAGCCCCACCCCGTCTTCGCCCGCTTCCGCCGAGATGAGTCGGACCTTCAACCCCTGGAGCGCGTGGCCTCCCACCCTGAGCCGGCGCAGTTCTGAGCCCTGGCCCAGCTCTGCTGACAACGATAAATAAACAGCAACCGACAGCACTTCACACGAGTTCTCCTTCTGCTAAAACATACAAATTGTTTTATAATCTGAGCAGGACGCCCAGCACCCGTGGGTCCCGCCCCACATTTAGTTCTCTGTGGCTTTTTATTCCTGAGGGGCAGGAATGCTATCTTTTATATGAATTTGTTTTAACAGGTGCCCCTCGATTTGAAACACGTTTGTTCATCTCAGGTCAGTTTCCTGCTGAAAGCTCAAACGTGTCAAAGTTTGGAACATGACAGAATGTTTTAGCCCTAAAGTTGAAACAAAAGTTTTTTTTAAGCCACATGTTTGATTCTTATTGGTTTATATTACAAGTTTATTTGAAAAGTCAGATTTAAACACAGATTCAGCAGCAGGGATCTTTACAAAACAAGTTTTTTGTTTTTCCACGCCAAAAAACAAATAAAGCTTCAGTTGTTCATGTTCCCCTTCTTTAAAGTGGAATTGTTTTGATCAAGCGATCAAAATAAGTTAGGTTTGAGGTTTGACCTGTCGCCTGTTTGTCTGCAAAATTAATTAAAGGATTTAAGCAGAAAATCTGGGCTCGTGCTTTTTTCCTGTTTTTGTTAAACCATTCATCCATCCATCCATCCATCCATCCATCCATCCATCCTTTAAACCCATTTCTTCCTTTCAGAGTCACTGGTGCTCATATCCAGCAGTCACAGTGCGAGGGGCAAGGTATACCCTGGACAGGTTGCAAGTCCATCACAGTTATGTTAGTTTTGTTAAACCAGTAAGCAGTATTTTAGTTTTTATTTACAGTAGTTGTAAGGGAATTATCTGGTGTTAGATACAGACAGGGTTCCTGCAGATCCTTAAAAAGTCTTAAAAGGCATTAAATTCATCAATTCAAAAATAAGGCCTTAATTAGCCTTAAAATATCTTAAATCAATCTTTCAGAAGTCTAAAAAATGTTAACACATTGTACATAGGATGATTGTAATTCATCTCAAATATTGAAATAATTGGTAAATTATTTTCTTTAAATATTCGCGTGCAGACATTCCCCTTTGACATCACTTCCTGTTATTTCACATGCAAATATCTCAACAACTGTTCATCTGAGCAACGTGACATTTGTTTTGTAATATGTTAATAATGTTGTCTTTCCAAAAATGCATCACTTTTCTTACAAAAATTGATGTTACAGGTACTTTAAGGTTCCTTCTGCAGCAAATTGGGGTTAAGACCCCACTGTGGGTCCTAAAACTCCAAATTTTAGGTTATTAGAGGATTTCCTGAAATTAAAAGAAGTTAAAAACTGACTGCTAAGAATGTTTTTGCTGTAGTTAGAAATGGATAAAAAACAATTGGTC